TGCAGTAATTACAAATATAGTTGTATAGCATACAAGCAACTGCGAGTATGGCTGTTAGGAGCCTTAGAGTATCAGAATCTGTAGACGTAAAGCTAACCTGAGGTTTGTCTGGAGCAATACTCAACCAAACCAAAGCTTAACTACGATTGAACCTTAGATGATGGACAATCCTGCCCCTATGCAGTTGTGAGTCAACATTCTAGTTCGCTGTAAATAATACTATTTCGAAGTACTGCGTACTGATCAAATTTAAAAAAAAGTTTCATGACGCACCTTAATAAATTGGTTGTATCTTTTTTCGTATAGGGTGGCTTTTAAAAAGGCGATTGGAAAGAACGGCGGCGCATTCGTTACTCTGCGTATTGGCGCCTTCAGTTAATTTAATTGGATAAGTATTGTACCTGTTATCTCCCGACTCCCTTATCTTCGCATAGCCGAACAAAAGTGCGGTGGAGTGTTGTATCCATAACGCCAAGAAATAAAAGTAATTTAATCAATCGATCTTCTTTTATTTAGGTTTTAAAGTTATTTGTGTTAAGACTAATTAGTAACCTTTGCAGCTGTACTAAAGGCAGACTAGTCCAGCGTAACGTATCACATACGATTGGCATTACGTATTACATCATCATCATGATAATTGACAGTAGCCAGGGCCTATTTTTTGAAAAATAGCATTCAGTAGGCAGTGATATTCACTTAACATTGATGACTCCGTGGCGCAGTTGCCAACGTATTGGCTTCGGCGTCGGGGGTCGTGGGTTCGATTCCCACACGGGACAACTATTTGTGTGACCCACAGATAGTTGTTTCGCATCTGGGTGTTTGTCCACGTGAAAATTATGTCAGTAAAACGTCCTTACAACGCAGGATAATGTTATCCTACAGTAAAGGCAATGTTTTTAAACAAAAGAAAAAAAAACATTAGGTTAGTCGCCTGCTCGCTTGACAACTGTTCACATTTGAAAAAATTTTTGTGTTTTTAGCAGCTTATAAGCTTTCTCCTTCCTATTTGCTATCATTCGAAAAAGTCGCACAAATAATTGGCCGCTGCGTTGATGAGGGCGCAGACACGCGCACAGTGTATTGCGTGCATACGAAATTATTGCCACCAATGAACGCCCTCTCCACGGATGGCGCTGTCTCGAGCGGTCACAAAGAACAACGCGCAGGCGGGGGTTTGACGTACGGTGGAGGCATCCAGCGATAACGCCACGCTGTTGTTCCGAACGGCGTACCAGCTACCGCAGGTGAAAAACGTCGGGAGCCAGAACGTTTTTGGCGCAGTTCTTGAACGTTCCACCGCGACTGTTTCTACGTAAAGGTACAGTCGGCGGGAACAGCGCTAGAAGAGTTACGCTGAATAAAGTCTGTTGTTATTGTTATTGTGATAAGCTTGATTAAGCAGCTTCTGACGCAGCCTTTTTATATATTCATTCAAATAGACGCTTGCGCGCTCTTATGAATCGTCAAATTTTTCATCAAAAATTATGTACATAGGTCCGTAAGGTACCACCGACCGGTTCGGAAAGCGGTTTCTGTTGAGTAGAGACCGGCAAGAAACCCAACGGTTGCTCTTTTTACGTTAATTTTACGTTTAAATTGGTCAAGCGGCAGACTTAATATCGACTGTGGGATTTTATTATACATGGCGGGTGGGACTACCCCCCACTAGATGGAGTGACGACTGTGCACCTGTGCAAATGTGCGGGAAGTCGATGGATGCAGGAGGCTCGGGATCGTACTTCGTGGCAGTCTATGTGATGAGGTGAGGAGGCCTATGTTCAGCAGTGGACTCACAATCTGAAATGATGATGATGAAGCAGCTTCGAGTGGGGAGGAACTAATGATTGCTCTTAGTTAAGCGATTGCTTACACAATGTTAAAAGAAAGTGTTTAATTGATTTTATCACAATGTCTTTATTGAGTTACGAGATACGTTAAGCTACTCTTGATATATGACCAAGTTTTATAACACCCTACACTTTCTTAAAAACAGTATGTGGTCAAATTTAAATTCTCGCAAACAGCACCTTCGATTCTCTGACAAGTAAAATTAATCTCAATCACCCTATGAGAGCTGAGGATATTGTTCGATTATAATTAATATTGGATTTGAACTAACATTCTTTTAAAATTTCTGTGTAAGCGACTATGACATTAGAATTTCTGCAAGTTTTTCATTAACGATTGTCTTGCATCTCAATCACAACCTTCTAACAACGCCGTGCGACGCCGGGGCGGGGCGCTAGGAATTTTTAATTGAATAGTTTTATTTAAAATGTGTAGTATGTTAAATATGAGTTACATAAAACTACTAATAATTCAATTAGATATAGTATAATTTTTTGTTTTGTTTTGAAGATGTTGTAGTATTCTCTTTGAAGCATCTGCAATTCCTCCAGTGGTGACATTAGCAACGGACGGAAAGGAACACGTACAATCCGGATAAGCCAAATAAATAAATTATTTAATGTAAATAAAGATTTTGTAGGTCATTAATTTACAACAGTATCTTAACTTCAAAACTTCGTGCAAGGAGTCCTATGAATAATTGATAAGTCGAACAACACACCTAAAATGTTTCCAAGTGTTTTATGTTTCCCAAATAAGGTAGCACTAAATTTATCGGCTAGTGACTAATAATGTATCAAATATCCTGAACTTTACGATAAATCATAGAATTAACAATATTCAGACACTTCTCTGCTCGATTGTACTAACCGCGATTTCGCAAGCCCCCGTTCGTCCCGCAAAGCGGTCCAATGCGATTTGACGTAAAGATGTTAAATGTTTAATGATATGGAAAACACTTTGGTTTAGTAACCCTATACTGTCGACCGTACCCGGCCCGAAATTTTCGGAAACCCAATTCTAAGACTATGCAGCGTAAGCTTCAATTTCCTTCGACGGTCCCATCTACGAGGCCGTTCGAGCAATTTCTGCTTTGACACGAAGGCAGCAAAGCGCAATGTCGATTGCAGCGCTTTTGATATTTAAACAAAACGAATATGCCACTGTTTAGTGTCATCTTACGTATGAGCTGAGTTTCGATGTCCGAAATTCGTTTCTCGGTTGAACGGCTCTCAATATTCGGGGAAGGCGTCGTGCTTAATGTCAAAATATAATAAAAAACACAAATAGATTTTAGATTTGACTGGGACGTCTAATGTAAGTCAGATAACAGCCGCGATGCGGTCGATTTTAGGAAATCTCATTGTTGTTTTTCCTGATTGGAATAAGGCGTATATTTTTTAAAATTCAACAAAATAAATAGACAAAATCATATCTAAAAATTAAACAAAATAAACAATTGTTCGTCGGTTCTTTTCATTGTGCTATCGATTGATGTTTTGCTTATTTATCTGTTAGTTATATTTTCCGGAACATTTCAATCAATATTTCCTCCTATTTACGCGAAATTTATTCGTTTATATAGAACTAATTTACAGATTAAACCACCGTCCATTTCTAGATTTCCAATGAGTCTCACATTTCGTTACGTCGTATTTTTCTAGGTGTTTTATATTTATCCTTCTACAAGATGAAACGGAAAAACTCTACAAAGTGTGAGACAACATTGAATAACTTGTTTAGATACTTTATTTATGTTATTTACGGTGGTAGGGCCACGCAGCAGCCTCGGCTGTTGCACGAATGGGCAGGCTCGTGCGGGTAAGTACCACGACCTCACAGAAGACCGGCATAAAGTGGAAGTATAATACTTTCGCGTTTCGTCTGGTGAGTGAGGTAGCCGGAGCCCAATTTCCAAAAAGGTTGTCAACGCATTTGCAAACCCTTGGGTGTAGCAGATGTCCATGGGCGGCGGTATTCACTTAACATGAAAAAACTTAACTTAAAAAAACATACTTTACCAACATTCAAAATATGGACCCCGCCTACCTCACTTTTTTTACCTTATTCACAAGACGAAATGCAGAAGCGTAAACACTTCTAATTTAAGCCAGTCTCTTATATGAGTCTGGTTCTTCCCTGAACGAGACTGCCCCATTCGTGCATAGCAGAAGCTGTTGCGGTTTCGTCCAATAAAATCACTGCTTTAAATTTAACAGCTATATCGTTGCGAGAACTGTGGAATATTCTAATTATGATGGCAGTTAGCGAGCGTCCAAACATCGTTGCCTTGCAGGAATTGATATATGACCACCGATGACCACGGTACAGGTCCAAATTGCAATTGTGACCAAGCCTCATCAAAGCTCCCACTGCGCAGGCACCCCAATATTGATAATTAAGACATATATCACGCGTTGTTCTTTCGTGGCCATAAAACCAAGAGAAACAAAACTGGTTCTATCCGAATCACCAAGCGAGGCGTGTATTTCAATAAAAAAAACATTGGAGCGGACAATTCGTGACGTCACCCATGTCAGAACGGTAAAAGGCTTTAAGTTAAATTTCGACATATCATTACAATAATAGGTGCATACAGTTTTGATATATGTTTACATAAGAAGGTAACATTAATGATCTATACAGAAACCGACAAAGTGACTCACGTCCAAACTTGCTTTAATAATGAAATACGTGCAATGCTTCATGGTCTTACGTAAGTAGATACAATGCAAAAGTATTAATATTCGGTTGGGACTGACAGAGACAAAGGACAGAGACAAAGACACATATAATAACTTATCCTGTCATTAATAATATGTGTGATAGTAATTATTTCAAAATACTTAAGGCAAACCTTGTCTTTAAAAACATTCTCTCAGTATTTCGTATAGCATCATACAGCTAAGCAATTCTTTGCAAAAAGCACACATCGAACGCGTTAGGTACGAATAAAAGAGCCACAAAAGCATACTAATCGTTAATTTCTTCGTCGGACCATCTATTACGGTTTATAACAACCCCGAAGCGCACTAAACCCAAAAATTACGGGCCGCAACCGACAATGAGCTATGCAAATTCCGGCCGGGGGTCGAACGGGCTACCATTAGCTGGCGGTGCGCGTTAGACAATGAGCAGCCGTGGCTATTATGAGCCAGGATTTGGAGGAGGTTTTGAGGTCGGCAAAGTAAGCTTTCTTTTGGCAAAACTTAATAACAAACATCCTATGCACGATGTAAGGGATGCACAGTAGAAATTAAAATATATACATATATATATATATTTATTTGAGATTATATATTTATAGAGAGTAAAAACAAACACAGTATGAAATCTCTACGGTCATAGGAAATTAATTGGGTCATGATTTAAAACTATGTTTTTTTTTATGTGAGAAGGTAGCAAGTTAGCAGCTACCCGGCTACAAGGCAGAAGTATGACACTTCCACTTCACGCCTTTCTTCATGGTACTTAACCGTACGGACCTCTCCATTCGTGAAACAACCGATGCTTTTACGTGGCCCTAACACAGTTAACATAGAAAAAAAATGTCTATATTGCAAGAGATACTTAAATAAGTGATGGGGAATTCAGTTTCGTGGATGAACCATTCGGCAAACACTATGTTGATCTTGTCTCTAGGAACATAACAAACGGGCAAAGAAAAATCGAGTATAAAACAGAAGTAGGAACTGGAAACCGGAGCGATCCGCGCAGCCTCCGACCTCGCCCAACGGCCGTCTCGCTCGTCACGCGAGTCGCCCGCGACGTGATTAAAAATCGGCGGGCATCACGCCACCCATTGACACGGCGCCGTTATCACGTCGACGTAGGCTCGCGTGCTGCGAGCACGTGGTCACGTCTAGCCGTTACGCGGACACGCGAACTTGGGGGCACGCGAGCCGCCCGCACGCAGTTCCCAGCGTGGCGGGGCCAGCCCACGTACGCCACGGGACTTGGCCCCGTCTGGCTAAGATGACGGCACGCGTAACGCACGTAAGACACGCGTGACGCACAGTGGTGAGACACGCGTGACGCACGCCTCCGTGAGGACTGAGCTCGCTGGGTTCAATTACTCTCTGATTGATGCTTATGATTTTTTAGTTTTTGATATGTTTTTTCTTAGCACGCACGCCTCCGCTAGACGATGACCGAGATCTCACAACTGTTGTATTTCATCCTTCGAGTGGTCTGAGTTTGAGATGTTTGAGACAACACTGAAGATTGGAGATTAATGATTTTGTCGTTAGTTTCCCCGAGCCATCTGAAGCTTGCTTTGATTATATCCGAGCCATCTGAGGTTGCTTTGATATGTATCTAGTTTTTTATATGACTTTATGGTTTTATACCATAGGATTTAAGTCGCTCGATGTCCGTGTCTTAGTCGATGTTATCATTTCATTTCTAAATTTGTATTTCTATATTTTTCAAGGAGGCAATGATTTAGTTACATCGTTTTGCGTTAGGCATTTTAATTTTATCCTTCGAAAGGTCTACAAGGTTTGAGACTGAAGATTGGTGACTCATTCGTTTGGGAAGATGTGAATGAGATGCCGAACGCTTTATGAGTTAACTACTATACACTATTACATTAACCATCACAAAAAGGCTGCCTCTATTGCTATTGACGCTCTGCCAGATGATTTTTATATAAGTTTTGCACGTCAGACTCTAAACGCAGTAAAGGTAGTGAACATGTAAAAAACCGGCCAAGTGCAAGTCGGATTCTCGCATAAAAGGGTCCGTACCATTATCCGGCAAAAAAATCATGTCTGTTGCATGGGAACTCTTGCATATATCTATATTATATAGAAATACATCATCTGTGAAAATTTCAACTGTCTAACTATCGCAGTTCATGAGTTACAGCCTGGTGATAGACGGACAGACAGACATACAGCGGAGTCTTAGTAATAGGGTCCCGTTTTATACTTTGGGTACGGAAAACTAAAACCTCTTAGTTTATTCGACGGAGCCGTGGTAACTCACTGACCGCGTGCTCATTTTTAATTCATTCCCCGGTGCCGGCACCAATGAAATTGTTAATTTTAATTACTGACTTACCGCGGTGAACATCGCGGGAAACATCTTGAGAAAACCTGCATATTTTCTAAATAATAACAAAATAATATTTCGAAGATGTGTGAAGCCTACCAACCCGCAGTGAGGCTACGTGGACTATGCTAATACCCTTCGTACAGAGGAGGCCTTTGCCCAGCAGTGGGACATTTATTGGGTGTTACTTTACATACTGGTCGGGGTCAACGCCTTATAGCAGCTGTAAAGCAACGCGCCGCGGCTGTGCAACCCTCAATTATGAGTCGGCGCCGTAAACTGATTCCATGTAAACAATTAATTTTCATTGGAGTATTTAACGAGAACGCTAATCGGTCTGATTGTTTACAGCAGGGACAGTCTTATTGCTTACTTGCTGTAGGCACACCTGAAGTTTATGTCCTCCGCTTGAATTCGTATTAAGGTTCTCTTTGTACTCCTACATTTATACTGTTTACCAAATTTGCCCGCGACTTCGTCCGCGTGGAATTTAAAATAAATAAATATTCTAAAATAAAAGTACCCTAACATAACATCAGCTATCTGCCAGTGAAAATCCCGTCAAAATAGGTTCAGCCGTTTCAGAGATTAGCCGGAACAAACAGACAGACAGACAAAAATTATAATAAATGTTATTTTGGTATATGTACAGTGTGAAGCGATTATTTTAATATTACAAACAGACACTCACAATTTTATTTGTCTGTGTATAGATTACTCGTCCTCGGATAGTCACAAAGCGATATAGTGTAAACGAATTAACTGTTTGGTTCTTGGAAAATTACGTCAAGCCCACAAAAATTCAAAACATGAACCACAAAAGATCCACCGACTTGTGGTACCGTGTGTACCGTGACTGCTATATTCTTATCAATCAGATTCGAAATTATAACAAAACACTGTACAAATTTAGTTTTCCGCTGGGAATGAACTTAGGACATGGCGCCGACAAATCAACCGAAATTTCAATGAGGCATAAAGTCACACAGCTAATAGTTTATAAGCCCAGATCTGTAAATAATAAGGAAATGAGACTCCTAAATTTGTGTTAAAATCATAATATAAATATCAATTGTAACTTTAGGTAAGACTTGTACCGTGTTTCGTTATTTATATCGACAGATATGCTATGGTCAGACGTTTTAAAAACGTTCAAAAGCATCGTAAAATTATGGCGATAGAGAACAACAAGAGACGTACACAAAACGTTAGACATTTGAGCTAATGGCCAGCAGTCACGGCATCCGGACTCGTCAGCTGACGGTTCGGGGTTCAATGCCGGCCAGATCGCGGATAATGAAGGGTGTTCACCCTCCGCGACATCTTAGAAAAATAGTTTTGGAGCTATACGTATATATTGTATTTAAATTTTACATCATGTTATAAAGGTTGCCCTAGCATAAGAAAATTAAGAAATAAACCAGGTATAATTGGACAATACACAATAAAATAAACTTGCATGTGACAAACAAGGAACGTAGAAGCTCTTCAAATTTTTTTACCTAAAATCTATAATCTTATCAATTGTATTGCATAATAAAACTCTTTTTATAATAAAACTTCGTCCCAATAAAAAGCTTCCGTGGACTTTAATTTGCTTAGAAAACACGGACAAAACAAATATTTTTTTTTAAAAGTGAATTTACTTTAAACTGTAATTTTTCAAATGGTCTAATGTGACAGAATTTGTTATCTCGCAATTTCTTAAAAATATGGCAGTACTTAATTATCGCCAGTCAGGACGGGACAGTCTACGTTGACAAATGTATGTGAATGAAATATAGATAATAAAACGTTTATTTAAAAAGTTTTACGTAAATTGGACTTTTTGCGATATTATTTCTATTTATGACCACGACAACGGCGCAGCCATCACAAACTGTACGTAAATCGCACCACCTTTTGCGTAGAGAAATTTTAGGTTGAAACCAGTATCTAGTTCTAAGAAAATGAATCGTATAACTATCGTGCTTCAACTAAACGGTCTTCCCTTACAACGAACCGAGTCACTTACGAAGAAAAATTCGCCTTCGACCCTACATATACAACAGCCGTGCACTCTGAACAAATAAAAGCAATCTTTACTTTGCGCTCATTACATTAGCCGCGGAAAAATCGAGTGAACATCCTGAAATAAGAAAGAGACGGGATACCGTTAATGCGGCAGGCTGGAGCGAGATGCAACATCGTGTTCAGAGGGTGCCACGCCCCCTTTCTTGTGAGGGCAACCCTGGGGTTGATAACAACGTTACTTTATAGAACATAATTGTGAAAGTGTGCAGTAATTAACGACAATATTTCTGCATGTATAGTAACAAGGGTGTTTAACGTAACACGAAAATGAAAATGAATAATTGGTTCACACGTATTGCTCAGGGTTGGTTATATTTTAAACAATAAACAAACACATTATTTCCGTGACACTTTCTGTTTTACTTGTTTTTAATAATAGATTTCTATAGATATCGTCAGACGAAGTTTTTAAACTCGAAAAGGCCTATGACTTAGTTGCTGTACTATATAGCTAGAAGCGTTAGACACATACATAGCACAGGCTCATGTGTATTCGTTAAAACTGTAAAATAGAATAATTACGCACTATGAATTAGAGTTAACAGTTGCCAACAATACTCGAATATTTCAAAATCATTTGCATTTTAAATATCCACCCAAATGTTCATCTCAATTCTGCTTGCGTATTATTGCGATTTACATTGTTAATGTATAAAGGAATTAGAATATTTCTTCATAACAATATCAAAAGTTACTGTTACTTCCACTATTTTTAGTGTTTGATAGTTAATTAAGCTTTATTTCTTTATATTTAACACTACAATATTTACATTGTACGAATAATGCACCATTTCTGTGTCCCTTATCGCTTTTCAATTGCGAGTTTTTAAGTATCCTAGCTAAGCCTTAGCTACGAACGGCATAACTTGCTACTTCCCCTGTCGTGGCCTTTGAGACCCTCGCGAATGGATTTTTCACCGGCCCACGTGATGTGTAGATAATTAGTGGTCACGCAACCCTTCGGAGTCCATTCACAATGGGGCGCGTCTACTAGGGGATCACGACGCTATTGTAGATCGATACCAGTCCCACCGCCAATTCACTGGTCTAACAAAAGCATATGCTATGAGGATACTCCTATGCATATACATATAAAGATAGGAGAGATACATATAAAGCATATTCTATGAGAATAAAACCGGTCACATCGCTGATTGCCTATATAATTGCACTATGTTAACTTACGAACCTATATATATATATATATATATATATATATATATATATATATATATATATAGTTTTATAATGTAAAATATGACGATTCATAAGAACGCGCTAGCGTCTATTTGAATAAATATATTTGATTGATTGATTTGTATCATCGGATTTTTCGGTGTATGTGTCGTCATGAATTTTGTTCGTTGTAATTAATTTTTGTTTATCAGTATTTAACTTTATATATTTTAATTTTATTATTTGTTGCCTTTGTGCATGCAGTTGAACAGATATAACTAGGGCCGTGGTTCTACCGCGGCTATATACTGAACGGAGACCTCTTTGGTGCATACATTTTTCCGTTTTAAGTGTTATTCTTGTTCATTATCATTATTATTTTCTTATTATTATCATTATTTTATTATTTGAATAAACATTTCTTTCTTTCTTCATTTATTCGAATACGTCTTTGTATAGTGAAATGAATTTCGAAAATGGATCTGTTTTATGTCTCTCGTCAACTGTCTCTTTTTTATTCTCGCTATTAGCTGTTTATTGCAAACAGACATTTTATGCTGTGAGTAGGTCACAACTGCGTCTGTTATAACTTTCGTAGTGTTGAAACCTACATGAATTCAGTTTAAAAACTTCACTTTAATATAAAACGAAGAAGAAGAATTTTATACGCTA